CAACATCGCGTGGGCAATTGTTGCTAGTTATAACCAAATGTATGAAATTGAAATGTTATAGAAATGTTGTACGAAGTTACAATTGGAGAGATTTTTCAATATGACCGGAACATGGGATGGTACATCACATGTCACTACATAAATGATAGAACATGGGATGAAAAATTTTTCGTTACAATTGTACCAAAATTTAAAGAAGTAAATTGTAATTTACCCTTTTTACTTTCACTTGCACATTTACCGGTTTGACGGCTAGCTTAGGTGGGCGTATTATATCCTAGTAAAAATATCACATCCATCAAAAAAATTAATTTTTCATCTATATTAATACAATGTATTTGAAGGAGCGACGATTCCCAATTCTAAGTGGGGTCTTAAATTAACTTGTGTCTCTATAGATGTGGACTAGCTAGTCCTAAATAGCCGCTTAGTTTAATCCATCTTATCATCTATGAAAATTTTGATGTGCACCGATTTGAAAATGCGGTCTCATGCCGTAGAGGATGGTTTAGAAAAGGTGAGGCTCCCTACTATATATAGGTAACACTACTCTGGATCCTTCATTGCTCATACACATCACCTGCTTCATACACTTGAACTTTATGGAGAGAACCATGAGAGTTGTTTTATTGCTAATCAGGTTTCTAGCCATTGCAACCATTACTTTCGGTATTGGTTTATGCAATGGAAATCCCAGTCGGCCTCCGCTTTGCAAAGAAAGCGAAAGACAGGCACTTCTGATGTTCAAGCAAGATCTCGAGGACCCTGCCAATCGGCTTGCGTCGTGGGTTGCAGAAGAAGATTCAGACTGTTGCAGTTGGACAGGAGTTGTCTGTGATCACATAACCGGCCACGTCCACGAGCTACACCTTAATAGTTCCGTCTCTGATTGGGAATTCAACTTTTGTTTCGGTGGTAAGATAAATCCTTCTTTGCTCAGTTTAAAGCATCTCAACTACTTGGACCTGAGTAACAATAATTTCAATGGAACACGAATTCCCAGTTTCTTTGGTTCTATGACAAGTTTAACACACCTTAATCTTGGATACTCAAGGTTTGGTGGAGTAATTCCTCATAAACTAGGAAATCTCTCCAGTCTACGCTATCTCAATGTCAGTAGTTTCTATTATTCCAATCGGAAGGTAGAGAACCTTCAGTGGATTTCTGGTCTTTCTCTGCTGAAACACTTGGACTTGAGTTTTGTAAATCTTAGCAAAGCATCTGACTGGTTGCAAGTTACAAACATGCTCCCTTCTTTGGTAGAGTTAGATATGTCCTATTGTCAACTTCATCAAATCACCCCCCCTACCCACCACAAATTTTACTTCCCTGGTCGTCCTTGATCTTTCTGGAAACAGTTTTAATTCTTTGATGCTGAGGTGGGTTTTCAGTCTTAAAAATCTAGTTTCTCTTCGTCTCAGTTTTTGTGGTTTCCAAGGTCCAATTCCTAGCATTTCACAGAATATCACATCTTTGAGGGAAATTGATTTGTCATCCAATTCTATTAGTCTTGATCCGATTCCCAATTCTATTCAAAATATGACCGGTCTTAAAGTCCTTAATCTTGAGGAGAACAACTTCAATTCTACCATACCTGAATGGTTGTATAGCTTGAACAATCTCGAGTCGTTACTTCTTTCTTACAATGAATTACGCGGTGAAATATCGAGTTCCATTGGAAACATGACATCCCTTGTCAATCTTCACTTGGATGGTAATCGGTTGGAAGGGAAAATACCAAATTCTTTGGGGCATCTTTGTAAGTTGAAAGTTCTTGATCTGTCAGAGAACTATTTCACGGTTCGAAGACCATCCGAAATCTTTGAAAGTTTGTCTAGATGTGGTCCAGATGGAATAAAATCGTTGTCGTTGAGGTATACTAATATATCAGGTCCCATTCCAATGTCACTAGGAAATCTATCAAGCTTGGAAAAATTGGACATATCTGGAAATCAGTTTAATGGAAGTTTCACTGAAGTTATTGGTCAACTCAAAATGCTAACGGAATTGGATATATCTTATAATTCGTTAGAAGGTGCAGTGTCGGAAGTTTCTTTTAGCAACCTTACAAAGTTGAAGCATTTCAGTGCAAAAGGAAACTCATTTACTCTGAAAACTAGTCGAGATTGGGTTCCTCCTTTTCAACTTGAAATTTTGCAGCTAGATTCCTGGCATTTGGGGCCTGAATGGCCGATGTGGTTGCGGACACAAACGCAATTAAAAGAACTAAGCTTGTCCGGTACACAAATTTCAAGTACTATTCCAACTTGGTTTTGGAACTTAACTTCCCAAGTAGAGTATTTGAATCTCTCTCACAATCAGTTGTATGGGCAGATTCAAAATATATTTGGTGCTAAATATTCAGTGGTTGATCTTAGTTCTAACCATTTCACTGGTGCATTGCCTACTGTTCCCACCTCATTCAATTGGCTAGATCTTTCCAATGCATCATTTTCTGGATCTGTTTTCCACTTCTTCTGTGATAGGCCGGATGAAACAAAGCGACTCTATGTTCTTCATCTCGGGTACAATTTTCTCACTGGAAAAGTACCCGATTGTTGGATGAGTTGGAAATACTTGAGCTTCCTACATTTAGAAAACAACAACCTAACTGGGAATGTCCCAATGTCCATGGGATACTTACGAGAGCTGGAATCACTGCACTTGCGCAATAATCACCTGTACGGAGAATTGCCACATTCCCTGCAGAACTGTACCTCGTTGTCAGTTGTTGACCTTAGTGAAAATGGGTTTTCCGGAAGCATACCAATATGGATAGGGAAAAGCCTTTCAGGGTTGCATGTTCTTAACCTTCGTTCAAATAAGTTTGAAGGAGATATTCCTAATGAAGTTTGTTATTTGAAAAGTCTCCAGATATTGGACCTTGCACATAACAAACTCTCAGGAATGATACCGAGATGCTTCCACAATTTGAGCGCCATGGCTAATGTGTTAGAATCATTTTCTCCAACAACACCTTGGTTTATTATTTCTGATGAGGTTCATACAGTTCTAGAGAATGCAATCTTGGTAACGAAAGGGATACAAATGGAATATAGCAAGATTCTGGGATTCGTAAAAGGCATTGACCTTTCATGCAACTTTATGTATGGAGATATCCCTGAAGAACTTACCGGCCTCCTCGCATTGCAGTCACTCAATTTATCGAATAATCGCTTCACTGGAAGAATTCCTTCAAAGATTGGTAATATGGCACAGTTAGAATCTCTCGATTTTTCCATGAACCAACTTGATGGTGAAATTCCTCCAAGCATGACGAATTTGACATTTCTGAGTCACTTAAACTTGGCCTACAACAATTTGACGGGACGAATTCCGGAAAGCACTCAACTGCAGAGCCTCGATCAGTCGAGCTTCGTCGGCAACGAACTATGCGGAGCTCCCCTCAACAAGAATTGCAGCACGAATGGGGTGATACCGCCGGCAACAGTTGAGCAAGACGGAGGAGGTGGATACCGTTTATTAGAAGATGGGTGGTTCTACGTGAGCTTAGGAGTTGGATTCTTCACGGGGTTTTGGATTGTGCTTGGTTCTTTGCTGGTAAACATGCCATGGAGCGTTCTTCTTTCACAGTTGTTGAATAGGATAGTGCTTAAAATGTATCATGTAATTGTTGAATATGTTTAGCTTTGTTTTGTACTCTGCGTAAGTTTGTTGGCATTTTCCTTGCTGTGACGAATATGCCAGTATGGTTGTGTTGTATGATTTTGTCAAATTTCGTCCTCTTGTTTCATTGTATTTTTCTTTCAGGTTTGGCTTTAGAGAGGTTAGGTTTCATGTCTCCCCTCCCTTGTATCATTTTTGTTTTTCATTTCTAGAGGGGTAAGGTTTATGTCCCCCTTTCTTACTCAATATTGTTTTTCTCCTTTTCTTGGCATTATGAGAGGTAAGGTTTATGTTCTCTCCTGATTAAGTGTAACTTATTTTTTTCGTTATCAATAAAATATCGCTCGTACCGTCGAGGTTTTCTTAAAAAATAAAATATAGAAAAAATTATCCCATATAAAATTAAAAGACTTGTTTTCTGAACAAGTAACTCTTAATTCAGCAAAAGTAAATTGAATGACAAGAGAAATGTGTGAAAATGGTTTAGGGATTAGTTACCTATTAATTAAGGGGTGTGATATCCACACATCCCATTTTACTTTTCACACACCTTTTTAATTTTCGGCCATCGGATCGGATGAATTGAAGACGATCAACGGACAAAAATTCTCAAGAGGTGTGTGAGAAGTAAAATAGGATGTGTGGATAACACACCCCATTAATTAATTATCAGCAAACTCACATTATTCACATTATTTCGTGGTTGTATTTTTAATTATTTTTCATTTACAATTTTACCTCTGGATCTTTCTTTTGTTCTCTCTTCTGTCTCCCCTTCTTCTTTGTAGTACTTATCTCTCTCTCTCTCTCTTCTTTGTACTAATTCACATGACACCTCTTGCTATTTTACGAGAAAACCCAATTGCTATGCAGCTTTGAAATGATTGTGGAGCAAGCAAAATGGTGACGATAGAGTTAGCATTTTCCTATGTTATTTAGAGGCACTCTCTGTCACAAAGCATTCGTATTGATGCCAATATACGCAAAGTTTACAAACTTGAAACATGAAGCAACTTTTCCTAGAATTTGTGGAAAAGAAGGGTGTATGTTTGTAACTTGCAACCAGACAGATGCTTTGCTAAGACTTAGAGAACTCAAGTCCAAGTGTTTCAGCAGAGAAAGACCAGAAATCCACCGAAGGTTTTCAACCTTCAGATTGTAATTACTGAGATTGAGATAGCATAGACTGGAGAGATTTCCCAGTTTATGAGGAATTACTCCATCAAATGATGAGAATGCAAGATTAAGGTGTGTTAAACTTGTCATAGAACCAAAGAAACTATGAATTTGTGTTCCATTGAAATCATTGTTACTCAAGTCCAAGAAGTTGAGATGCTTTAAACCGAACAAAGAAGGATTTATCTTACCACAGATAAGAGCAAAAACGACTTAGTTTGTATAGTTGGCAAAACCATAAACAAATTCCAGATACATCACCAGCAACATCATCAAGTTGCCGTGTCAACTTTATCTCCAGATCAGATTCAACTTTAAAACTATCTTTCTTTAATTTGTTCAGAGGATTAAATTAATGTTTGATAATGTTAGGAAGTTGAGAGGATTAAATTTTATGTGGAAAATTTGGCCAAAAACTCTGATGTATTCACACGATGGTGAATGCATGAAAACTCATGCAGAATAATTAATGCTTTGATTTTTCTTACTCAAAGATGATAAGAAGGATTGTAAGTAGCTAGTCCATCTGTAGGCCATCTGTAGAGTCATATTCACAACCCCACCAGGAACTGGGAACAGTCCTTCATACAAGTCGTGGCTAAGACTAAAGACCCTTCGTAGCTAGCTAGGATGCAACCACAATTAGTCCGTGCATTCTGAGACAACCACAATTAGCCACAGAATGATTGTCAGACCAGCAATAAGGATGCAAGCTATTTCAAGAAATGGACCTTCTCGAGTAAACAGAATGAATGTGAATCAACCTACAATATGCAAGCTATTTCAAGAAATGGAGCTTCAACATACTATATGTAGACAGAACCAGAACCAAGTCCAGACTCACTCGTAATAGGTCTCCTCATCCACAACACTATCCCAGCTTTCCCCTGTCGTGCTTTTTCCATATTTGTGCACCTTACTGCAAAGAGAAAGCAAGTTAACTTGTCAAAGAAAAACCAGAACAATAGATGCCAATGCAGTTCAGCAAGTTTATTTCCTTTCATACCCATTTCCAAAGTGCTCTTCTCCCCATGTCCTTGACCAACCTAGACATGAGAGAACAAAAACAGAGTTGCATCAGATTAAATTATTGAAAGAAAAAGTTCACTTCTGTTGTAACGAATCGACATTAGAATCAAGCAACCAAGTTATGAAATACGAATTTAAAATGTAACTATTTACCGTGTCTGAAATGAATCTGTGAAATCAAATAGTTAAACCCTAAAGAGCACCACTGCAAATAGCATAAGAAAATTGAAATTAACCCTAAAGAAATTGGGAGAGAAGAATATGGAAAGGGAATACCTTTCGGCCCTTTGAGTTATTGGAAAAAAACCCAACAGAGCAAAAGATAAAAATACAGGAGGAAAGAAAATAAATTTTCAACTTGTAAGATTCATACGGGAACAGATTGGCGGTCAAAAGCATTTCAAAACTCAGAGCCATCAAGCTTTTTGATCTGCATGGAAATTATTTATGAAGTTTGAGATTCTTGAAGACGCTTCAGACACATCGACATATTGAAAAAGCAATATTCAACAACCTAGTACCCATGCTCCATAGAAGGTTATAGAAAATATGAATGTCTGGACTCTGGAGTGAGAAAGTAAAAGGACTTACCGTGTACTTCATATCTTCTAAGTTTGTGTAGTCTACAATCCCTGTTGTTCCTACAAAAAAAGCATAGGACAAAAGCTAAGTCAATCGAAATTCCGATGTCTCATGAGCTAGGTCTTAGGATTAAACTATTGAACTAACACTATATGAAATAGTAGTGTATATCCCAAAAACAGTCTGAGATCTGGTTGATAATCGAAGAGTTCAAAGGGATTTACCTTTGGATTCTTCGGCTTTCAGATGGAGTTTGCTTATGTGTGGGAGAGAGAGGTGGAGCGGCTAGGGTTTGAGTATGGAAGAGATGAAAAATGGAGAGAGCACCTGTTTTGGCTGAAGCAACGGTTCACACAATCTGGACAAAAATGCAAATGTCTTAAAAGGGGAAATTATAAAAAGAAACCTTAGCAACTGAATTCAAAGAAACATTCTGACATTGTAAATAACATTTCACAGAGAAAAAAAAAATCCCTAAACTAATTACACTCGGATTACAATGTTATCATTTAACAATAGGAATTCCCATACCTTAGCAGAAGATCCTGCATCTGCAAAGGATCCTTTAAAACCTTTTTTCTTGAACAACCCCGCACTGCAACACTTCCAGGCAAGGTAAACCAACAGCACCCTCATGCTGAGCTCTCCTGTGCATATAGACCCCTTGTAAGTAATCTTAATCAGCCAGTTATCATGAATATACAACTTATATTAATTTTCTACAATATCCAACACACAAATATAACAGAAGAGGAAACTTTAACTTAAGCAGCACAAAATGATATCCTCTGCATTTCATTCCAAAATCCATCACTCTTATGTCTTTGCCTGCACAGTTTTTGCTCCAACATAGCCTGCCATGATGATAGCACTATCAATAATTAAGACATAAAGAAAAGGCTATCCTAGCTAGGTATTATCGTTGGAGTAAACCAACAGCACCATAAGTAAAGTAGCAGACCAAAGTTTTTTTTAGAGTTGATGCCTTAACATGTTTAAGTAGCGAAAAGATTACAACACATTGGATGTGTTAACAGATCCATAAGCTGATGACTCCCTCTCTGGTTTACCGGATCATTCTTAATGTATTCAACAATGCAGCAGCAACTAAAAGTCCTTGGAAAATGCCAAGCTACTATAAAGACATGACGAAAACTATATCTCACCTTACCCCCTTGTTGGCATAGACAGCATATCCGTCCTTCTTGTTCAGGGTGAATCATAATCCTGAACTCCATTATCATCATCGTCGAGAATGTCTTTGGCTTTTCTAGCAAGAACACCCCAAAACCTATGTTTGGATTCATTAACATTCTTCAATGACGTATACTCAAATCAGATACCGGAATCAGATACAACAAAACACACAAGTCACAAATGAAACAGCACAAAACACACAACCCAAAAATTAAATGAAGAATTCTTTATAACATGCATGTTGATATTACCACGAAAAATTCCACTTCATTATACATGCCTATTGTTTTCTCTGTCCAAATATGAAATTGCCATCATCTTTTTTGAAAGCACAAACCAAAATCACTTCTCAAAGGGATCATACACAGAAGAGAGTGGAAGCTTACCCAAAGCCAATTTCATGTTGTTCACTCCTTCTTCTTCTTTTGGACCCAACAATCTGTGGGTTCGATTGCAGCATAGTGATTTAGTTTAAAATTTCAACATTGATTATATATATATGTAGATAATCCTAAACACTTCAATTAAATCTCAAATTTCATAGAACACTTTCAATCTGACTAAACTACACAAAGGAAAAAACAAAGACAGAAAAATGTTCAAACCAATCTAGAAGCGAAAATGATCCCCCAACATCAGTAAATTAACAATAAAAATCTAAACCCATATACATTCACAGGAAAATCAAAACGCGCGAAAAAATTTTTGGATCACAAATTGTCAGGTACAAAAGGATAAATTACAAATCCAAAAGAAAAAAAATCACAAACAAACTAAAACTTCAAATCAGTGAAGACCGTACCTTGAAAAGGGATCACCGCTCTTGCCAACATCAGTGCTATCGCCGTCTCGACCCTCAACATGCTTCCGGCCGTACTCAATGACCTTGGTTGTGGAATTCTCCAGCAATTCTGGCAGAATTGGTTATGCCTGTTTGCTCGCCGCAAGGTTTTTTGCTGTGAATGAAGGAAAAATTTATAAGGTCAGAGACAAACATGATAGCCACGGAAAAGAGTGCGAAAGAGTGGTGCAAAAAGACTGGCCGAAAGTTTTTCATGACCGGCAAAACATACACCCAAGAGAAGCAAGTATAGTTATTAAGATTTAAACATGAAAGCATTAATCGCGAGGAAAAATTCATCATCAATATCAACTTAACGCTGAATCATAAAGAATTAAGAATCAAATGAAAGAGCCACAACTAAATCACATTCTAAGAACAGAAGGTTATATGAACGAACACAAACCAATTACAGAACTCACACTAATTGAACACAAATTTCAGCAAATACCCAGAATAAATAGCAATAACTTAACCATAACCCACACCCAAATCACAAAAAGCGGCAAATATAACCTCAATCCCACTTAAATCCAAACAACCAGATGACCCAATCTCTCAAATATCACCAACTAATGATCAAGGCAGCTACAAAACAGAAAACAAAAATGTGAGTTCTAATTGAATTCATTTACATATACCCTACACCATTAAGACTTAGTAATAAATTTATATTCCTGTATTCCATAAAGAAAAGAAACTCGTCATATAGAACAATTATAGGCACATAATGATTTGATAAGATAACACTTAAACTGTGCAAGACCTTGCTATTGCACCAGCATGGTAGCAAAGCGTAAATTATTTTAATCAGGTACATACCAATTGGTTGTGAATTTTCTGACTGCAGGTTGTTGAAATACCAGCCACAACAATCTTAACATCAACCTCGTCCTGCAAGGAAATGAAGTTAAACGTAAAACAGATCATTCTGGGAACACATGTAACCTAAAACATGTTATGCATTAAACTTGTGCTTCCAAGCGTATATTATATATGACTTGTCCTGGATGTTCTTCTTATATTAAAGAAACCATGATTATTGTTGCGTATACCTTAAGCTCTGATAGTAGCATAGATACAGCCCGATAAGCAGGGTCTTCTGTGCTTTGCACGATAAACGTAAACTCTAAGGGACCCCCATAGAGAGAAGTGACCTGTTTTCGTTAATTAAACAAAATAGTTCAGACCATATTGGAAGAAAACCTTGGATACAAATTCAACCTATTAAATCAGTTAGCAGAAGGATATTGAACACTTCACCAGATAAGACATCCTTACAGTGCAAATACAGAAATTTAGATATGTCCATCAAAGGAAAATATAGTTTAACTATGTTAATCTAACATCACAAAGATATTGAGTTTCCAAGTCTCAGACCCAATAGAGTGTGATTTGAACTTCTTATGAAGCAAAACCTAATTTTTCAACTTGAAAATAATACAAAAACATGATTGGCTTTGACCACTCTCATTCCAAATGGTCTAGCGTAGCCCCTGACTCAAGGGCTCACCAAATGGGTTTTCGATTTCTGTATGAAATTATAAGCCTAAGTAATGTTTGATGACATATTGAATCATCAAGAGCAGGATTCATATGTCCCCTTCCTTGCACAGAACCTAAATATGACTGACATGTTCTCAGCACGATTCACTAACATAATGCATAATGTGATCTATGAAATGCCGACAAGCAATACTTCGAATCGAAGAATTTCGCAATCCCAGAAGCCGAATTCAAATGCCGGCAAGCAATTGATCCCAGAAGCGACCCCAAATAACAAATTGAAACCCTCCCCCTCTATCTCTCCTCCTCTCTGTAAGCCGCATGCCTTCCCCTCACCAAATCCCACACTGAGCGGTCGATCCCACCGAATACAACCCTAACTTGTCCCAAACCCAAACTGACAACAATGCCCACCCAACTTTTACCCCCATCCGTGCAATGTTAACCCTAAACGGGCATTCCCGTCATTCGAAACAATGGCAGCTTCGTAAAAAAGCTGAAATATCCAAACCTACTGGTTTGGTACTGAACTCCTTTTATGAAAAGTGAGTATAAAGAAGAATTGAATTCAAAAATATGTTTGATGAACACTTAAAAACAGCTTATTTTCACAGTTTTGGATAAAAAAAAAACTGAAAAACGTGAAGTAGCAAAAACGAGTTTATTCTCTCAGCACAGCAGAAATAGTTTTTTTTTCCAAAGCACATCAATACCAAACCAGAAGCCGACAATGGCATGATCGTAATTAAACTGAAATTCAGACCCAAACACATAGGCCACTCTGAAAAGTAGTGGCGTGGTCTTAAATAGAATAAAATTCGGATTCAAACACTGTTCATTTAAACAGTGCCAATTTCAAATCTTACTTTAGACTAAAGTAATTTATAAAGAACTAGCCTCTCCGCACGCACATTAAGCATTTTTGCATCACAGACGCTATACATCCCTAAAGGTGTATTATGATAGTTTTTCTTCCATTGTAATTGTCAAGATATATTTTAAATGTATTGTATAACGATGAACTTTTTCTTTACCATGCACGTTCTAAAAAGTTGTAATGTTTTTCGTTTTCACTTTGCATAAAGTAATGATTTAAATGTTATTTATGCAATTGTCAAACAACATGAGATTTTAAATGCAAGTTCCTACCTAAAGTCCATGAACAATAGCAAGTAGCATCCACTTTCCAACACTTATAAACATAATTAAAATTTACAAAAAATATTAATAGGTCGAATTCCTGGATTAGAGGAACATAACAAAATAAAAAAGACAAAGTAAAACAAAAGGTTTAATTACCAAAAACGTAAAATAACCAAAAGAAAGAATGGAGCAAATTCCCTCTCAAATTGCACACCAATTGATTGTTTGCAAGACATTTCTCTCTCTCTCTCTCTCTTTCTCTCTCTCTCTCTCTCTCTCTCTCTCTCTCTCTTTCTCTCTCTCTCTCTCTCTCTCTCTCTCCCTCCCTCCCTCCCTCCCTCCCTCTCTCTCTGTGATTGAGGCAAAAACCAAAATGGAAAACCTAATAACAGTAAAATACCAATCAAACATTGAAGAGAAAGGAGGAGAGACATAGGGAGAATTCCCGACTGTAGGAGTGTGCTTGAAATGTTGTAAAACCCTAAAATTGGTTTAGTTTAAAGTTTAAGTTCATATGAGTAGAAAAGTAAATGAGAAAGAACACACATATGAATAAAGTTAGATACCTATAAACCTTTACCATCCTGACCACTGTGGAAAATCTTCATTACAGCCGGAGTCATAGAAAAAATATGACTCTTCAATACTTTTTTTAACAATAATTAAGGGCTATGGTCATAAGGAAAATTAGAATGTTCGAAAGACAATATACTTGTAGGCTTGTAGCAATTAAAAGATTAAACAATTAAGTGGAGAATTACCTGTTAGAATTGAAAAATTATTACAAAAAGTTTGAAAATTGCCTAGTTAGATACTGAGAGTTAACATCGTTGTTTCTTTGCAAATACCACTGCTGACCTTATTCAAGAACCATTTTAATATAATAGGTTCTATTTGGATGATTAGAGTTTTGAACCTTTTCTTTCCCCCAATTCCACATGAACTGAGTTTTATTGCTGAACAGACCTTGGTAAATATTTATAACCTACTAAAAGTGTTTTCTTTTGATTATTTTCCAATATATTTTTTAGCCAATTGACAACCCTAAAAGATTTACTTACACACACATCAAATCTGTGTTTCATAAATATACCTAAGATGTAATGCTAGATATTTTTTTATAGTTTCTTCTGCTCTATTCTATGCTGGATAATACTGTTTTTCTGTATATTGTAGATCATTAAAATTCTGCCATGTTTGTGAAATTGAGATTTTTAAATCGAAGAACTTAACAAAGAAAATTGTACATATTTTTTTGGATAAATAATATTATCCACATCTCATGTTATGTAAAAAAAAATTAAAGTACTCTCTGTGTGTGCATGAATTTGAAACTTTTTACATTTTCTAGAAAGAGAGACAATGCAATTGCGTTTTATTGTTAGAGAAAGATGTGTCATTCTAGATTTGCTTAAAAATGCTTAAATAATTTGAAGTTGAAGAGTCGGATTGGTGGGAAGCAATTGAGACGCACATATCGTCTTCTAAATGGGTCAGATGCAAATCACTACCAACGAATAACTGGGTCGTCGTCTTCTTTCTTCACTTCTGAGCTTTTGGGGTAAAAGGAGTCATCTACTTCTTCTAGGATTTCGGGGCTATATTTGTGCCTTCGTCCAAGGATTTGGTATAATTCCCCTTTTTTAATTTTTTTTTTTTAATTCTTGATGGATATTTCTATTGTTTTCTTCAATTATTTAATTGGATTTTGATTTTTATCTTTGCCATTTTTGTTTTCGCTTTTAATTTTTTATGTTAAAAGATGTCGTATTGTGTTTTCGTACCAAGTTATCCTCATTTGTATCTCTCACCAAAATATATACATGTAAATCGAAGGAGACTGTAGTGTAACTCATTATAAAGTGACAAGCCCTATATACATTGATGCAATAAAATATAAACGATATCAATCCCCTGCAAATAAATGTTATTATGTTAACAAAAGTAACTTCAATTCTTAATCGTTAGTTCAATTACGTTTTTTCCATTCTATCTAGAATCTTAAATAGGGAATTTCATGTGTCTTAACAAATAATTCCTGAAGTTTTATTAAATTGTTTCATCTAATGTATCTAATATTTTAATAATTGCTTATTCCTTTTGTTTGGTTAAAGTTTTGTTCCATTTGTTTTCTGTATTGCCTAGCATGTTGCTCCGTCGCATCAAAGAGGGCTTCTTTAAGCTTGGGTTTCTTGGCAGTGGCTTTCTCCATTGACGTCTACACACCTGCGTCTCTCCTCGCTTTCCCACTTCCTCCGGTGCAATCTCTTTTTCTTTCTAATCTCTTTTGAGTTTCTTTCAATATGTCACTTTATATAATTTATTCTTTAATGTCAGATTTGGTGAGTTTGATTTGGGTTTGTGAATGTCTTCCTGGCCTTTCCACTTTGGATTCACATAATAAGTTCAATGGTTGTAAACGGAACAGAATACTGACTCGCGAACAAGGCAATTCAAAGCTTGAAAATTTATATGTTATGCATGAGCTGACTAATATTTTTTTGTGCACTTTATTCATGCCTGTTGTGGATAATAGCTTGAAAATTTGTATGTATTGCATGAGCTGACTAATACTTTGTAGTGCACCTTTCCATGCAAATTATTCATGCCTGTTGTGGATAATAGTTCCAAAACCCGTAGCGAAGCGCAGGCAATTTTTCTAGTTCTAACTAACTTCCAAATATGCTAACTGCCTCACTTCAGCGCCACCTTTTTGACCATACTACCCTTCTTATCCGTCAATACTGGTCAATACAAACTACAAGGAGTTCACAACTAGATTTTCTTTAATTACCCTTTAATAAATTAATTAATTAAGTCGTTAGCAAATTAAAACTCTGAGTAAATTAGAGTCATTGGTGGACTGGCCGAGGTTGTGCAGGTGGTTGAGTTCATGGTGAAATTTTTAGTTGTGATGGGAATACGAATGGTACACCACGTGTTTTTATGTAAGTGGTGAAATTTTTTATTTTTTAAGTTATTAACTTTTTAATACACATATCCCATCATTTATATAAAAACACGTATTATACCACTCCGTGTAACAATCACATTGAAAATTTATTCAATTAGTCTATCATCTTATTCGAAAGTATTTTATTTAATCGCCAATTGGTCCTTTTGCGTCTTGGGATATATATATTTGATGAATTTTGGTTTTGGGATTCGAACTCGAGAGAAGTGTTGTTTTAGTTTTCTGAGAAAGAAAACTGGAGAAGTAGAAAGACGAAGAGTGCCACCCGTGAAGCTGAAGAGTCGAGAAGAGGAGGAATACCCTCGACAAATTTTTAGTTGCGACGGGAACACAAGTGGTACATCACGTGTTTTTATGTAAGTGGTGAGAAATTTTATATTTTAAGTTATTGACTTTTTAACACATATATTCTATCATTTATATAATGACACGTGGTGTACCACTCCGTGTGACAATCACACTGAAAAATCTCTCGAATACCCTCATAGGCAACATGCGTATATCAAAATGAAAGTATACAAACCAAGCAGAAGCAAAATCGGCAGCATACTCAATGAACAGAAAATCCCAACATTTTCAAAAGCCTTTCACTTTTCATCGAAGTGGCAGAGAAAGGTCAAATTTTTTAAAAATAGAATCAAAAGGGAAAATAGAAAATCCCAACATTCAAACTCCCAAAAAAAAATAAAAATGGACAAGTAAATGAGAAGAAAATACATAACAAGGTTGGTTGCGTGGTCATGTACAAAAGCATCTTCGGATCTAGAGTGCACGGCTGTGAAAAGCTCTGACTTTCATCGTCATCAAACACACCTAAATCACAGTATACAAACTATATGCGCTAACCTATACTTCATGATCATGATCATAGTTGAAATATACGCAATTTGACCGACATAGCTCAGTGTCTAGTGTCTACTACACCGTTGTTCCAAGGTAGTTTTATACTTGTGCAGCTGCATTTGCTCGTTTTAATCTTCCTTGAAAATGAATGTGGCAAGAACAATTTTAAAATTATTCTTAACAGCAAATTATAATTAAAGGGTCAATAGTCGTATTATCATAACATTGCTACATTCTACAATTGCATTTGTAACACGCGTACTGGCCATCCCTTTTCAAAAGCAATTGTTACTTGAAGTTATTAGATATGACTCGAGTGTTGTTAATTATACAGGTCGAACCTGGACAGATGGTCCTTGTTCACGCTACCGATGGAGTT